GACGAGACAGCCTACAGGGAGGAGGTGAGGGCTCTGGGAGTGTGGTGCCAGGAAAATAACCTCTCACTCAACGTCAACAAAACAAAGGAGATTATCGTGGACTTCAGGAAACAGCAGAGGGTGCACCCCCCTATCCACATCGACGGGACCGCAGTGGAGAAGGTGGAAAGCGTCAAGTTCCTTGTCGTACACATCACTGACAAATTGAAATGGTCCACCCACGCAGACAGTGTGGTGAAGCAGGCGCAACAGAGCCTCTTCAACCTCAGGAGGCCGAAGAAATTTGGCTTGGCACCTAAAACCCTCACAACTTTTACAGATGCACAATTGAGAGCATCCTGTCAGGCTGTATCAACGCCTGGTACGGCGACTGCACCGCCTGCAACCGCAGGGCTCTCCAGAGGGTGGTGCGGTCTGCCGAACGCATTACCGGGGGCAAACTACCCGCCCTCCAGGACACCTACAGCACCCAATGTCAAAGGAAGGACAAAAAGATAATCAAGAATATCAACCACCCGAGCCACTGCATGTTCACCCCGCTATCATCCAGAAGGCGTGGTCAGTACAGGAGCATCGAAGCTGGGACCTAGAGACTGAAAAACAGCTTCTATCTCAAGGCCATCAGACTGTTAAATAGCCATCATTAGCACAGAGGCTGCTGCTGCCTATTGAAATCATTGGCCACTTTAAGAAATTGTACACTTGTCATCTCATATGTATATACCGTATTCTATAATATTCTACTGTATCTTAGTCCATGCCGCTCTGTCATTGCTCGTCCATATATGTATATATTCTTAATTCCATTCCTTACTTAGATTGGTATGTATTGGGTATATGTTGTGAAATTGTTAGATATTACTTGTTAGATATTACTGCACTGTCTGAGCTAGAAGCACAAGTATTGCGCTACACCTGCAATAACATCTGCTAAACACGTGTTTGTGACAAATAAAAATGTGATTTGATAGATTTTTCTCTAAGTTGCCGCGATGTCACGTGTCCTACTTAGATCAGTACACTCGTAACTTAAGCATTTCATAACTTATATTTGATCAAATAAACCTCACGTAACAAATAATCCATAAATTTTTTGGGTTGACCAAATTCGACACTCATTGACCTCTATAGTATACAAAAACTCCTTGGTTGGTGGGCGAAACAACGAAAAAAACGCCACCTGCTGGAGGGAGACAGATTTTCCACCAAGTTGGGCTCCCCTTCCTCTCTGGCTGAAGGCAGTTCTCGCAACAAAAAAAAACAGATTATTGCCATATTTTTTGGGAGTCAAACATTAAAATGCTGTTATAGAAGGTCAAGTAAAAATCCAACCCAGTACATGAATGAATGCCTTTATAGTTTTACGGTTTACCGCCCAGCCAGTGTATTCTGTGCATATGACAAATAGACTTGAATTTTGTTACGTGTATAGCTAGCTATCTAGCTAATGTTAGGCCTACTAATTTGTGTAAATGGTTGAAGATTTTACATCAATGACAAAAAATGAATGTAAAGATTGCAATTACTCTCATTTTTTATTGTTCTGAATGTATAAATGTGAAAGTGAGTTTGGATGTTTGAAAAAGTAGCATTGTATAGCCTAACATTAACGTTACTAGCACCTTGCAGGGAAGCAAATGTGTTTCACCAGTTTGTCCAGTATGGGCAACCATAGTTTGGCAAGTGGTTTGATAGTAATAACACAGAGTAACGGTATCTTTTGTAAACAAGCCTAAAGATTGTTTTAGTGTTGACTACTGCAGCTGGGGTAGCAAATTAGCAATAATATTAGCAAGCATTTTCCAGCTAGTATTTTCACCAGCTAGTACGCATGCCCTGACACATTCCTCAGGATAAGGTTTTTGGGGATTTATAGGAGGTGGGAGAGTGAGTATTGTAGGTTTGCAAGAGTTTCAAGAGTGATCGGGAGTTTTTCAGACATGCACACATTTCCTGCAGTACACGTTGTCAGGAAACCTAAGAGATGCTGTTCGTTCACGGGTACGTTTTTGTGAATACTCAACCCAATCATGCCGGGTTAACAGACCTGTTCGTTTCCCAACGTTCACGCAGGGTGTGCCGAAGCCGTATGTGTGTGACACCTTTGATAACTCCTGAAACCTGTTAGTTTGCGGGAAAGTGATCTTGAAATTTCAGCCCGGAAACGTTTCTCTTCATGCAGTGCATCGAACCAAATATTATTCCTGATGAAAAAAAAATATGCACAGTGCGCAGGATTCACTCATCTGAATCATCACAATCCAAATTCATCTTTTCAAAACATATGCTGGGTTTCTCATAGTTTTGTAGACTTTCCATTGTCGCACAGAAACACTATCCACAATAGAAATAAGGAAAGGTAAATACGATGGAGGAACACAGTTGATATGAATGTATAGACCTCAATCCACACCAAAGCAAAGCTTTAAAATGGAATGTAACAATGTTGGCGATGATGACAGGAGTTATTTTTAACCCAACGTTACTTAGAAGTATTCCAACTTCATTCTCTGCATGTCCGCAATATATTTAAAAATATCATACAAATTAGACAGTACCAATTGCCTACATATTTCCCTATATTGTACATGGTATGACACTGACAGGGGTGATTTAGAATTTTGGGCAGTAGTATTTACTGATTGCCGCAAACAGTGAACACAACTGCAGGTACAAAGGCAAGAAAATGATCAGAAGTTCTGTAAATGTATTTAAGCATTTGATCATTGCTGTTCCGCTATAGATACGTTTCAACACAGATCAGAAAATTGCTTGCATACGATTGAGAAAAACTAAGTATAAAATGTGTATTTCCATTGGTTTTTCCAACCTATTTGAAGGTTTGATGTCAGAGTTTCTCAATGCAGCAATCACCTTGGTGGAGGATGGGCTTCATTACCATTTCAAAAGTTTTCAGGGGAGTCAAACCAAAACCTTTTAGACGCTTCGTGCAAATTCCAATTTTGGTTCAGTATTAGCTTTTATATGGAGGAATTTACAGATTCATCCCATAAAAGTAATGGTTTGTTAATCAAAAACGGGAAGATATTTCTAGATCTGCTGATGCATATGAACACTGACCTGATAGCTAGTAACAAATATTATTTTAATTTCAGCAGGAAGGAGAGAATAATACGTTTGGGAATCGTAACAGGTACACTAAGTAACAGAAAAGAAACGAGAGCAGCACAAAACCTAAATGATTTCTATGAGCCTATTTGTGTGATTGTATATTAGCTCAAATTTTTTTGTAGTGATAATTTAACTTCTGAAAGTTAATACAGGACATCAGGACATCCATAATGAGTGGGACATTGATGCAGAAGCTGCTTTAAGAGCTTCCATGAGTCAATGACAGGCAAGAAGCATACACTGATCCTCCCCATGGTAATCTTTGTTTTCCCCGTCACTGAATAAGCACATCGTTGGAACACAACTATGACACTGCACTGTTACTCTTATAGTACATTTTGAAATTGTTCAAAGATATAACAGCTGTGAACATACTAGCGTTGAAAACATTTGAGTCAATTTGGGCTTACAATTCTAATAAGTGGACTTCATACGAAAAAATAAGGATCTCATTAAGAAAATCGAAGGTACAAAAAAGCAGGGTAGGAAAATAGTGTTATCTTGCATTAACCAACAATAACGACATGAGGATCCCGTCCGTTTGTTTCTTACATCTCCCTTTCTTTAACGACAGGGGAACATACAGTAACGCACCAATAAAATATATCCCAACTAAAATTGCACATTGTTAATCCAGCAGATACCGTAATACTTGGAACCTGCTGTTATAGAGCGTCTTTAGGCTGTCATAAGCATGACATAGCAGCAATGTATTATTCCGTAGGGCTAAATGTTCAGAACGTTGCAGATAGAAATGAAATGTAAAGAGCTGATAAGTGTATAAGACTCTCTATTCTTGAGGACAGACAATCATATCAATATTACACAATATGTTTCTATCTGGACGTTCTGTGACATTGCACCCTCCTGAACAGACCACAGGTGTCATTGGTGATAATAACACCTTGTATTAGCTGCAAGCAATCTTGCAGCATAGTGTCACATACAGCGGTAGTCAGCCTAAGCATGTCAGCTTATTACCATGAATAGTTATGACAGCTTATAACATTTATATCATGCTTTTAACGGCGATGTGACTGTTCTATGACAGAGTCCCAGGAAAGTGTTACCAGAGATACGCTACACAGGGTATGTGAAAAAACTTTACAGATTAAATGAACAAGGTATTGCACAGACTAATAAAAAGGCAACAATAAATATACAGCAAATTCATAGAACATTTACATTACAATTTTAGTCAGGTTTTGGAAGATTTTAGGATCAGTTTAGTGTCAGTTGTGTTGGGGTGGAGGGGGAGGAGAGACTTAACTAGTCATCCCATTCGTCATCATCCTCAAAATCCTCTTCGTCATCATCATCTTCATCTTCATCTAGGATATGACAAAGCAAACTTGTAAACAAACCATAGTGATCTACATCTTTATATTGAGGGAAACTGGTAATAACACAATTCAGATGAGTACTTAAATTCAGCGTCTTCACAGCTGCTCACCAATGCCTGCTCGGCACAAGACTGTATTCGGACGTTAAATTAAAGGCATTAGCTCAGCTCTCAGGCAAGGTTATTCCTCAAGCATGTGCTGTTAACTGAATCACTTCCATCACACTGACAGTGGGCACCTACCTGAGGAGTGGATGGCTTTGCTCCTCTTCTGCATTACTTCCATAAGTGCCCCCACTATACCTGCCGACGGAGCTGGTGTAGGGGAGCCAGAGTCTGGGCCGTCTGGTACCTGACACGCGCACACACACAGTTACAAACACACACAAACATGGAAATGCACACAAACATACACAGGCAAAGGTGGTACACTTACGGTTTTGAGCTGGATGCCCTGTCGTATCTGGTCGAGCAGCGCATCGCGCCCCACAGTGGTGGCCGGTGGCTTGGAGGCCAGTGCCTCCACCTTCTTCAGCTGGGTGCCCCCACGGATCTGCTCCAGCAGGGCCGATTTACCCCCCGAGCCCTGGGGTGAGTGGGACAATGGCACACCACAGTCCAGCTCTGGAGGGGGCAGGGGTCCAGGTGGGGGTGGTGGAGGAGGTGGTGGAGGAGGAGGGGCTCCCCCACCACCTGAGGGTGGTGCTGCTGGTGGGGGAGGCGGTGGTGGGGCATGGGGTGCTGCGTTGGCATGCAAGGGTGGAGGGGGAGGTGGTGGCTGGTGGTGGTGGCCCCCTCTGGTGGGGGGCGGGGGAGGAGGGGGGGCTCCTAGGGCGCCAGGCCTGGAGGGGGGGGGTGGAGGAGGGGCAGAGGTGGGGGCCCGAGAGGGTGGAGGTGGTGGCGGGGCACCCCGGCCACCTCGCAATGGTGGTGGGGGGGGAGCTGGGCCCGAGCTGTGGGGCGGGGGAGGGGGAGGTGGGCCTCCCCGAGAGGGAGGGGGTGGTGGGGCTGGGTGGGACAAAGACGGAAAGAGACGGAGAAAGAGAGAGAGAAGTCAGTTAAAGAGTCAATATCCCATCCAGCAGGGTTCGAGTTACTGGGGTGCACAAGAGTACTGCTCGGTCCCATTACAAATCAGGGCTCTCTCACTTAATAGGCACTGAAAATAGCGTGTGCAACCCCATAAACGTTGTTTCCAATTATAGGTTACCCTCCAAGAGTTAATGTGTAATTCAAACCCTGTCATCCAGATACTCTGTTTCAAATCACTCCAATACACAGCCAAAACAACACCCAGCACAGCAACTTGGCAATTAACATCCAAAATCAAACAGTGCTAAAAACTAAAACACTCCACCACAAGTTTCCAATCCATGCTTGATTTTCTGAGTCGAGTAGTGGAATACCAGGAATCTCATTAATATTTTTTAAATCAGTTATACTTCTGGTACATTGACTGTTCAAGAGCTCAGAAATTCTGGCAACATTTTACATTATAGCCTTTCAACTCTGTTTATTTAAAATTCAGACAAACCACAAGCTAGTTAGCTTTATCCAGTCAAGCAGGTCAAAGCTCACACAGTCAACACCTGAGGCAGAATCACACCAACCACAACTCTATTGAAACACACAGATAGTTACCCACCACACCACCTGCGCGGCCCTGGAAAAATGCCACATAATTAAGCCCCATCTGGCTTGCACCATCTCATTACCAGTGGAGTGCATTCTCAACAAGGAAGTTCATCACATTCACAGTGGGTGGAATCCTTAATGCTTGAGATACACAGAACTCAGAGGGTGGTTCAGGTGAGCTCACCTTGCCTACGGAGCTCGTTCTTGACGGCCTCCACCCCTCCTTTCTTTTCGATGAAGTCGTAGATAACCTTGGAGGTCTCCTTGTCCTTCAGCTGGGCCTCTGAGATGCCACACATGTCAAACAGGTTCTTCAGCTCTGGGTCCAGGTTATTCAACTGGGACAGAGAAATGGAGACAGAGAGAAAGACCTGGTCAGGACAATCCAAAACAGGCACATAGGACAGCATCTGTGGTGTTTTGTGGGCTACAATTACGCTGTACAACCATGACCTAAAATAAAAAAATGCAATGCCAATTTCATTTAACTCAGAAAACTTCTTATTGAGCACGCAATAATCAAATTACTTTGTCAATCTTTGTGACATTCTGCCATCTGGTGGATGAAAAGGGGAATTGCACCTGGTGGTGCGCACAACAATAACCCCAAGCACACATCAAAATCCACAAAGAAATGGTACATTGACCACAAAATCAACATTTTGAAATGGTCATCTCAGTCTCCAGACTTGAACCCCAATGAAAACCACCTGTGGTTTGAATTCAAGAGGGTAGTCCATAAGAGCAGACAAAGGATATCAAGGATCTGGAGAAATTCTGTATGGAGGAATGATCTAAGATCTCTCCAAATGTGTTCTCCAATTTCATAAAACATTTTAGAAAAAGGCTGTGTCGTTATCCTCTCAAGGGGCTGGTGCTAGAGCCCCAATCATTTTGACACATTTCTTTTGCATTTTTTTGTATTACTTGTTAAACAAACTCTTTCTCTTAGTAATTGTATTAGTATTAAATAATATAATAATTTCCCAATTTTTTTTGCATACGATATAGCTCAATATTTGTGTTATTCATTTTATTGTATTTTCTGGTCATCTTTATCAAGGGTGCCAATAATTATGGACCTGGCTGTATATTCAGGTGTCTGCTAAATGGCGCTCTGGATAACAAGGTCTGCTAAATGGCATATTTATATTATACACTGAATGTACAAAACTGCTCTTTCAATGACAGACTGACCAGGTGAAAGCTATGATCCTTTATTGATGTAATTTGTTAAATCCACTTCAAAATCAGTGTAGATGAAGGGGAGGAGACAGGTTAAAGAAGGATGTTTAAGCATCGAGACAACTGAGATAAGGATTGTGTATGTGCCATTCAGAGGGTGAATGGGCAAGACAAAATATTTAAGTGCCTTTGAACGGGGTATGGTAGTAGGTGCCAGGCACAACGGTTTGTGTCAATAACTGCAACGCTGCTGGGTTTTTCAAGCTCAACAGTTTCCCATGTGTATCAAGACTGGTTCACCACCCAAAGGACATCCAGCCAATTTGACACAGCTGTGCAAAGCATTGGAGTCATGGGCCAGCAACCCTGTGGAACGCTTTCGACACCTTGTAGAGTCCATGCCCCGATGAATTGAGGCTCTACATAGAATAGAGGAGCGCACTACAGAATATAGCCTAGTTGTTATTCCTGTCCAGTTTGTAGCCTATTCAGTGCACCGTGGATTGGTCTGCCACTTCCCCTTGTACTGTAAAATACATTGAATCCCCTCCCCCTCATATAATTAACTCCAAAACCAACAGGTTTCTGTGCCAATGCAACACACAACCAGTAAACAAAACATACCGACATGGTTTGCGTTTTCAACACCACAATAAATAGACAAACAGAAAACAGATCCTTCCCTACCTTGTAGGCTTACCCAGTATGAAAGGCTTGGCTTGACAAATCTCTGAATGTCATTAAACATTAAATCTGTTTTGTAACAGATGCCTCTTTCATCAACTTGCCTCTGTACAGTTTGGATTGCATATGCTGCAGTAATACAAGGACTGAATGCACGTCTAATTTACACATCTCCATCTGGCTTTCGGGGTCACCTAATTTTTTAACATAGCTACATCTATGGGCTTTTATGTTTTTCTGTCGTGCGTAGTCTGTGGTTGCCTATATCATAGACTATGTATTGGATGACACTCCCGGTTTGGGCGGGAAATAGTGGGTTACCCGGAAGAAAAGTGATTCTCGGGATGGAACATTTAAAAATACCAGGAAAATGTTGAACCCTAGTATGTAGCTTATTCTTTAGATGTTTGGGGCTGCAGGCAAAATCAAAGTGACACTGGACTGGCACACATGCCAGTCGGTTTCCATCCAATTGGCAACAGATTTTCATGCGAATATTCTAAAACCTGCATAAAAACAATATCTACATTTCAGGGTTTAGTTTAGGAAAATTTGGCGACAGACAACGTGACCGGGAAGATTTTAATTTACCTGACATTTGAGAAATTTACCGGACATCCAAATGCATTCAGATCCGATTTGGTGTGGCCAGCGCCATCAATAAACAAGGAATATTGGCCAAATTAGCCACATTTAGGTGTCCTTAAAAACAGCATATAACAAAAACACTACTCCTAGTGTTTCGATGTGTAGCACACGCTATTTTCAGTGCCTATAGACACCTTTTTTATTGGTTTTTAGTCTACTTTCCTAAAACAACAATTGTCCACCTCAGGTTCAGCTCTCGGAGATTTGAGCACTAAATGCATCAGGGCACTGCATGCATAGGTCTAGATGTCCATTGTATGATACTAATATTAACCTCTAAAAGTTTAAGCCGTTGGGCCTTTACTACTACAGTACCAGTCAAAAGTTTGGACTCACCTACTCATATTGGTTTACTATTTTCTACATTGTAGAATAATAGTGAAGATATCAAAACTATGAAATAACACATATGGAATCATGTAGTAACCAAAAAAAGCTATTCTGCAAATAGCCAACCTTTTCCTTGATGACAGCTTTGCACACTCTTAGCATTCTCTCAACCAGCTTCACCTGGAATGCTTTTCCAACAGTCTTGATGGAGTTCCCACATATGCTGAGCACTTTTCCATCACTCCGTGGTCCGACTCATCCCAAACCATCCCGATGGGGTTGAGGTCGGGGGATTGTGGAAGTCAGGTCATCTGATGCAGCACTCCATCACTCTCCTTCTTGGTAAAATAGCCCTTACACAGCCTGGAGGTGTGTTGGGTCATTGTCCTGTTGAAATACAAATGATAGTCCCACTAAGCCCAACCCAAATGGGATGGCGTATCGCTGCAGAATGCTGTGGTAGCCATGCTGGGTAAGTGTGCCTTGAATTCTGAATAAATCACAGACAGTGTCACCAGCAAAGCACCCCCACACCATAACACCTGCTCCTTCACAATTGGAGATCATCCGTTCACCCACACCGTGTCTCATAAAGACACAGCAGTTGGAACCAAAAATCTCCAATTTGGACTCCAGACCAAAGGACAATTTGCTCGTGTTTCTTGGCCCAAGCAGGTCTCTTCTTCTTATTGGTGTCCCCCTAGACATGCTAACCTCTCACCATTACAATAACGGGAGGTTAGCCTTATTGGTGGGGTACGATATTTATGACTAACTTTCTCACTCATCATTATTCACAATTCATTGATGATTATCTGTAATCATCATAGCGTTCACATTTTTATTTACAATAAAAGTGACTCCAAAATGACACAATACATGATCTACCATTCATTTCTACTGGGCACAAAATACTCAAACACAACGAAAACAAAACAGCAAATGCATCCAACAAATTTGTAATCACAAGCTTGATGTAGTCATTGCGTGCTAGGAATATGGGACTAAATACTTAACTTTTGACTACTTTAATACACAAGTGAATGTCCCAATACTTTTTGCTCCCCTAAAAGTGCTGAAAAAGTTCACCTAATATGGATGAAAATACCCTCAAGTTAAAGCTGACAGTCTGCACTTTAACCTCATAGTCATTGTATCATTTCAAATCCAAAGTGCTATGAGTACAGAGCCAAAACAAAGTCAACAAAAACTGTCACTGTCCCAATACTTTTGTAGCTCACTGTATTTAGGCTGTATTGAAGCGTTAGTTTCTAGGTGCGCAAGGAATATCCACTCAGATTGGAGAGCAGGCAGAGCATGTGTTAACTTTCCTGAATAACTGGGCCTGCCGGGAGCATATGTGGCTACATTATTATAGGACGACTTGGGAGAATGATGATCTGCAACAGACAGCGCATTCAGTATCAGAAGTAAAAACACAGCCAGACTAGCATGCTACTGTGCCTTTCCAGACCTTATAAACTGTCGAGAGTAGACCCACAACTGATCCAAATCGAACGGAACATTCAAAACACAGGGCTTTTGCGACGTTATTCAAATTACATTTTCACTGCAGAATGTTGTACTCACTTGAAAACAATAATGCAATTATTCATTGCATTGTGGTGTTGTAGACTAATCTAGGTAGGATCATTGTATTGTCCCTAAACAAGATCAATAGGGGAGATTTTTGAGCTGTGTCTCTCATGTCTTCACTGTTCTTTCATGTGCAATGATGCACTTGGCCTCTCTGCTGCCTATCAGCTATTCCTATTTGGCGCATGCAGGCAGATGAGGAAATTTGGCTAGAATGGAATAAATTATTTAGTAAAACCTGCAAAAGAGCGAATGTAAACCCCAAAATAAAAAAAGCACTACCCTCACCTGTGCCCAAAAATATAAAAAATAAACACACAACTCCCCCCAAAGCAACAAAAAAAGTTTGTCAACCCTCCCCTATTTTGGACCACCCCTCCCCCAGTAAATTGCGATCTGTCCCTTACAGAGACTGCAGGAATTGAGTAGGTCGCCTAGCATTTCATGCAGCGGTCTTATTACATTGTGTAGTTAATAAAGATCATTGTTTGCTATATCTGTGTTGAGGTTTGGTGTCCTATCCTCTGACGCTGGACCATACCGTCAAACAAAGGTGGTGGCATCATCAAGCTACTCTAACATGCTTTATTACATTACTTTGAGAAGCTCCATGGCACATTTATACATTTGCACGCAGGCCAGGTAGCCTAGGTCTAAACAGGTGAACAAACTTGGACAGGAGCGTTCCAAACAAAACATAATGAATAAATTGACAAAACCCGTCAATGGAATGAAATAAACCAAAAATTGTTTCTCACAAGTGTAACAAAGGTTATCCACTCTGACAATGAGAACGGTAAATGACTAATAATATATTGAATGCATTATCAGAAATACCGTAACCAAACAATTATTGTAGATTAGAAATTATGGGAATTAACAGTAAATGTACAAC